AGGAGTAGCATTGTGAAGATTTTTCGAGCGGGAGCCGCTCTAGAGACGTAATCTTGCAAAGACATCCCAGGCGGAATCCTTTCTGAGGGGTCCCTCTGGGCCTGCACCCCCCTCTCCAGTCGGTGTGTCAATTCCTCTGTTCCTTCTTTCATCCTGTCTCCGGCCTATCTTGCCCCCTTCTCTAATATTCTCCACCCATCTGCCTACCTATCTTGCCTCCTGGTCCTCCATCCTCCCGTCTCCTCCGTCTTGCCTTCTGACTGCCTCATTGCTCGCTTCGCGGGGTGCACGTCCGGACCACGAGCAGTCCAGTCCATGTGTGGTCTCTTAGGGACCTCTTGGGGGCTTCTTGAGGGCCCTTTAAGCCGTTTTGAGTGCCGTTTTGGAACCTCTTGGAGCCGTTTTGGGCCATTTAGGAGCGTTGTGAAACCGTCTGGCTCTTCTGAAGCCGCCTCGGGAGCCCCTCGGGGCCGCCTGGGACTTTCTTGGAGTGTTTTTGGGCCGTCCAGGGGGCCTCATGACGAGGATGAAACGGAGAGAGAAGCGGAGAGGTCAAAGGCAGGGTGAGGCAGGAGAAGCTCAAATAGGAGGGCGAGGGAGGGATGAGGGACGAGGGTACCATAATGTAGACGAGGGTTGAGGAAGCATCCGAAAGTAGAAGAAGGCAACAATAAACATAACGGATAACGATAGCCACGAAAAGGTGAGTGAGGAAATCAGGGCAGGAAGAGAGTGAGGAGTTAAGCATGTTCCAGTTATCATTTCCAACGCCTCAAGCTACCTAGAAACAGAGCGAACACGGAGCGCGCGCGAAAGCTTCTGGCATACATAATCATATACATATATATATATATATGTATACGCATACATCTATAGATTTCTACACAAGCAGACATACAAGCTTATTCATATTTACATACATATTAATACATGCCCCCCTCCTGGGCTCTGCCAACTCTGCGATCAATGCTGGCAAATCCCCGGTATTATCCTCCTAGGCGTCCAAGAGAGCCTGAAGACGGCCCAGGACGCCCCCGAGACAGCCCAAGAGTGCTCCAAGGCTGTCCAAGCCAGCCCCCCGACGTCTCTGGAAGCCCCCAAGAGCATCCAAGATCGCCCCAAGATTCTTCCAAGAGTCCCCCAAGAGCCCTGGGGAAGCCCTCGAGATGCCAAAATCATTGAAAAGCCGATGGGAAATCACTGGTGTTCTGTCTTCTCGCACTTCGCCTCCGAGGCTTGCGCAAGCCCCTCAAGAGAGCTCCAAGAGGCCCCCAGGAGGCGTCCCGAGCGGCGGGAAGTGGCCCCAAGAGGCCGCATGAGGCCCCCCATGACGCCCGAAGAGGCACAACCGAGGCTCCAACGACGCTCCGAGCGGGCCCCAACGAGCTCCTGGCAGCCGCCCCGGAGGCATCCAGCGCCGAAGAGGGCCCCGAGAGGCCCTCAAGAGCTCCTAGGAGGCCCCCAGGAGCTCCAAGATGCCCCCATGAGCCGCTCGGAGTGCATCTTCTTGGAGCTCTGCACCAGGCGGCCCAAAATGGCCCCAAGACGGCCCCAAGAGGGGCCCAAGAGCAGGAAGGAGCCCGAAGCGACAATTCGAGCCGTCCGTCCCAAGATACCCCGAGGAGGCTCGACGAGGCCTCGCAGAGACCCCAGGAGGTCCCAACGAGAACCGCAAGCCGTCCCAAGAGGCATCCACAAGTTCTTCATCAAAAGCCCGAACACATCAAATGTCATTGTCCGCAGGTTTTTTCAAACAATGTTCCAGTTTCTTCCTTTCCCGCTGTCCCGCGCTCCACGACGGCCCCTGGGGCCCCGAAGCAGACGTCCTACGATGCCGCCAGGAGATTGCCGATACGGTCCCAGAGCGCCCCAGGATGGCCCACGAGGCCCCCATGACGGCGCCAGAGATGCCCAACAATGCGCCCAGAGCGGTCCCCGAAGGAGAACACACACCGACATATGAAGCTTTCCGCCCTCAGAAGCTCCTAGGAGGCTCCACAAGGACCACACGGTGCTTTGACGACGCCCGAAGAGGCCCCCAAACGCACTTCCACGAGGGCCCCACCATAACAAATTCGTGAATTGTGCGTGGTCGTCCTCTCCCCAGAGTTTCACAGCGGCCGACAAGTATTTGTTTGAATTGACACCCCGTGCTTGTTTGTATGAATCCTCATCTTATGTTATTTGTATGAGGAGGAGGAGGAGGAGGAGGAGGAGGAGGAGGAGGAGGACGAGGACGAGGACGAGGAGGCGGAGGAGGAGGAGCCTTAGAAGACGAGGAGGCGGAGGAGGAGGAGCAGCAGCAGAAGACAGGGGGCCTCCGAAAGTTAATGCGGTTACGCCGCGTTTCTTCTCTTCTGCAGAACTCTGAACTCCGACGTGCGGCCCGAACAAAGCTCCATCAACAAGTCGCGGTTGGGCACCTCAACTGGGGATTGTGCTTCCCGCCCGAAGCAGTACTCTCCAAGTATTTCTTCTTCTCTGGGCCTCCGCTTCCCCAGCCTGGCGTTGAGGGCACCAATGATGAGCTTGTGCCCCGGGATCCTGTCGTCGTCCCAATGTTGTTCCAGAGGTTTGAAAAATTCGACCCGCTCTCCATATGGCCGCCGGATGTGAGGTGCATACACGCCCACAATGGTGATTACGCCTTCTGCTGACAGAACCTTCAGCCTTGACGTGTGGCTGTCGGCGGGGAAGAAGCCGACGACATGCTTTAGGAAGTCACGAGAAACGATGAATCCAACACCTGCCCTCTCACGCGCCCCTGCATTTGATCCAGGAAGATGCACTTTGTGCCCCGTTTCCCACTCAAGCGTGTCTGTGTTCATCCGCCGGGTCTCCTGCAAGACCGTGATGTCGATCGATTTCTCTTCCATGTGCATGCAACTTTATTGTATCTTTTCGCCTGTTAAACACTCGACGTTCCAAGAGCACGCATTGATGGCCTCGCCGTCGCCTGAAGTCGTTGGAGAAAACGACGTTGAAAAATGCATTTAATTACCCATGGACTGCCGTGTTTTGTTTGGGGGCGGCCGCACCCTTTTTGCCTCCCTTCCCCTCGTAGTTCTTCGCGCGGTCGAGCTTCGCTGTGGCCGTCAGTGTGGTCAGCTCTAGAGACGTCTGCAATGCCTCCCACTGCTCCCCCCCCGTCACACCACGAGAGTTTGAGAGTGTAGTTCGCCACCTCGGCCTTGACCACTGGCGCCCCTGCCACCTTGAGCGTGTGGGTCGCCGTATCCATCTCCACGTCCGTCCTCCCATACACCCACTCCACCAGCATCCCTTTCATCGCAAGGAGGGCCGTCTCGGCCGTCCGGGGTCCGATCGCGAGGTCGACTTACGCCCACGCCCTGCTCGATGTTTCCGTCGTAGTCTGCCGGATCATCGCGATAATGCTGTCCCCGTGGGCTGGAAAAGAATACTTTGCGAAGGCGATGTTGTTGTACAATTCTTCTTTGCAGAAAACTTCGAAGGGCTCTGGGATGTTGCAACTCTGGCACTGCTTGGTCAGCCACGCCTTCGCTTCCCCAAGATGGGTGGTGATGTTGCCGATGACGACCGTGAGGTTACCGCTGCCGCTGTGGTTGTGCATGGCGGTCTTGCCCGTCATCATGTTCTGCATGTCCTCCTTCAGCCTTCAGCTTCATGACATTTGCCTCGAGAGTGTCACCCTTGGCTTCGATGCTGGTGAGGCGCAGCTCCATGTTGCTGAGCTCCGTCTGCACCTTGGACTTGAACGAGACGAGGTCTGTGAACAGTTTATCCACGGAGAGCTTGACGGGGGGAGTCTCCTCCTTTAGCATCTTCCGAATCGCTTTCAATGTCACCGTCTCCTCTGTCTCCTCAACCTCCTTCGCCTCATCGGAAATTTCGGCAATCTCGCCCGTAGTCTTCTTCGAAGGTGGGGACTGACCAGGCGTGTGCATCGAGGCTACGAGATGAACGGAATACTCGGCCGAAGACGTTTACTCGAGCCAAGACGCTTACTTGAACCAGGATAGAATTTGCGGAAGGATATATATATATATGTATTGGCTGAAAGGGATGATAGTGAGCAGCAGGAGGGTAGTAGAGGTAGTAGAGGCATTAGGTGCAACAGCAGCTGTAGCAGTAGAAGCAGCATGAGTAGGGAGGAGAGCAGCAGTTCAGGTAATGTTTCTTTATTTGGACGATCTAGCTTGATGAGGTGTGGGGTTAGTAATGCGTCGGAGGTTTGCTGTGACGTGATTTTCCTCTCGCCCCTTCGCGCCCCCCATTTTGCCCCCATTCCCCATCTGGGCCGAGGGGAGCGGCAGCAGGGCGGAGAGGCGGCAGCATCATCGTCAGTAGAAGCTTGGGCCTCGCTCTTGGGCACGCTCCGCCTCCTCCTCGCGTGGGTCTTTTGCAGCCGGGGTTTCCGACGTTCCCCTCATTATTCCTCGTCCTCGTCGACCTCCTCCTCCTCTTCCTCGTCCCTCCCCCTCGTCCTTTCCCCTCCTCCCCCCTTCTCCCCTCCCTCTCTATCTCTCTTTGTGTCTCTCTCTCTCTCTCTCTCTCTTTCTCCCTCTCTGCCCCGGGAAGCGAGCAACCGCGGGGCCTTTGGGAGGGGCGGCCCGGTGCGTGTCGTCGGACGCCTCCCCCGAGCGCCCGCGCCGGCGGGCGGTGCCGCCGGCAGAGGCGATCTGGACGGTGGGGCGCCGAGAGGAAGCCATGCGTCTGGCGGTCCGAGCGGGTCGAGGCGGCTGGCCGCTTCATGGGCCTTCCGAGGCCGCGCCGCCTGGGGGCCCGGGAGCGGCGCAAGAGGCCGGCCTCGTCTGCCGCTCCATGGGCCTTCCGTGGTGGGCCTTGGGCCTCAGGGCAGCGAAGGCACGTCTCGGGGCGGAAAGGCTGGCCTCAGGGAAGGGGTCGAGAGGCCCCGGGGCTCTTGCCTCGAACATCGTGCCGCCTGGTGTCTGGGGACTGGGTGTTCGCATGCCCGCGGGTGCGCCCTCGCAAGCTCTCGGCGCGTACGTCGGGGGAGCAGACGGACAGGCCGCGGACCTCGACCATCTTTCAGCACGTGCGACCAATGCAGCTCTTGGCTGTGCGATATGCCCCCCTTCGCCCGCAGAAGGTCCCTCAAATTATGAGCCCCGCGGGTCTTTTAAGAGTGGACGGGCACAGTGGCTGGCAGTTGAGAGGCAGAATGACATATTGAAACATAGATTCCCCCAGATGTCTCCGCAGAAGTCCCCAGAGGCTTCTGGAGGCCCAATAAGCGAACACATTTTCAATAACCTAGATCCTCCTCCTCCTCCTCCCTTTCCTCCTTTTCCCTCCTACTCCTCCAGGAGATGGTGCGCAAGAAGCAGAAGAAGATAGAGTATCTGCAGTCCCAGCTCGCGGAGCTGGGCGCGGACAGCGATAGCGATGCCCCGCCAGACGAGCGCGAACCGGCCTTCTTCCTGAACAAGGACGGCGCCAAGGAGCCACGGCCCAGGACACCCGGCGAGGGCGAAAGCGTGCTTCTCGAAATGCGTACTTCGATGTAATTCATGTTGGGTGGCCCATGGCTGGTCTGGCACGGAGGGGGAAGATGAGGAGGAGGAGGAGGCGGACGATCGTGCGATCGCAGTTCTCAAACAGCTAGATTCGTTGTACTACGCGCTAGCCCAAGAAAACCTTGAAGGCCATATCATGACTTCGCAGGTCGCTCAGGAATGTCTTACTAGGACGTTGCAGGTTTGGCTGACAATCGTTCTCACTTGTTCCCAACCATCCTGTGGTGTTGGGTCCTCGTTTTGAAGAGACGGTGCCCCGCGTTCCTCCTCTCCTCCTCCTCCCCCCCCCTCGTGGCAGGGTTCGCATGCCGCCCCACCACCCATTTCGGCACACCCCTCACACGTTTCGTGGCCCCATAGGGAGCTCCACCGAACGCCCCAGTGGCAGGGTTCGCATGCCTCCCCACCACCCATTTCGGCACACCCCTCACACGTTTCGTGGCCCCATAGGGAGCTCCACCGAAGGCCCCAGTGGCAGCATGCCGGCATGGCCCCCTCCCACCACCCATTTCGGCACACCCCTCACACGTTTCGTGGCCCCATAGGGAGCTCCACCGAAGGCCCCAGTGGCAGGGTTCGCATGCCTCCCCACCACCCATTTCGGCACACCCCTCACACGTTTCGTGGCCCCATAGGGAGCTCCACCGAAGGCCCCAGTGGCAGGGTTCGCATGCCTCCCCACCACCATTTCGGCACACCCCTCACACGTTTCGTGGCCCCATAGGGAGCTCCACCGAAGGCCCCAGTGGCAGGGTTCGCATGCCTCCCCACCACCCATTTCGGCACACCCCTCACACGTTTCGTGGCCCCATAGGGAGCTCCACCGAAGGCCCCAGTGGCAGGCGTTCGCATGCCTCCCCACCACCCATTTCGGCACACCCCTCACACGTTTCGTGGCCCCATAGGGAGCTCCACCGAAGGCCCCAGTGGCAGGGTTCGCATGCCTCCCCACCACCCATTTCGGCACACCCCTCACACGTTTCGTGGCCCCATAGGGAGCTGGCCCCAGGGAGCTCCACCGAAGGCCCCAGTGGCAGGGTTCGCATGCCTCCCCACCACCCATTTCGGCACACCCCTCACACGTTTCGTGGCCCCATAGGGAGCTCCACCGAAGGCCCCAGTGGCTGCGTTCGCATGCCTCCCCACCACCAACTTCGGCACACCCCTCACACGTTTCGTGGCCCCATAAGGAGCTCCACCGAAGGCCCCAGTGGCAACGTTCGCATGCCGCCCCCACACCCATTTCGGCACACCCCTCAAACGGTTCGTGGCCCCATAGGGAGATCCACCGAAGACGGTACTCACACCAGCATTACTCACAACTGCATATGGTTGGGTCCTTCGCCAGGTTTTTTTTTGTTTGTTCTCTCTCTCTCTCTCTCTCTCTCTCTCTCTCTCTCTCTTCTCTTTCTAATATTTATATGCCGTTCTATGTGTTTCATATTGTTCCTCTCTCTCTCTCTCTTTTTCTCGTTTTTTTTGTTTCTCTCTCTCTCTCTCTCTCTCGTTTTCTCCATCTCGTTGTCTCCCTCTCTCTCTATCTCTTTGCTTCCCGTCCATTGCACTCACTGACTCGTTCTCTCTCTCTCTCTGTTTCCCTCGGGCCGTCGGGACGGCCCAATCGTCGCCGCGGCGGCTGGATTCAGTCGGAAAGCTGGGTCGGGACCGCAGGTGCCCAGGGAACTTGCCCGCTTTCAGAATTAGGAGAGCCGAGGCCCTCAAAACTGATCTTCATGCCCCTCTCTCTCTGCCTTTCTCTCTCTCTCTCTCTTTCTCTCTCTCTCTCTCTCTGTGTTTTATGTTCGGTCGTTGTTTGTTTCCTCTTTCTCTCTTTTTGTTTGTTCTCTATCTCTCTCTCTCTCTCTCTCTGTCCATCCCATCATCTTGCTCGCATCAGCCATGCTGGCTCAAGGGCAGGCCGCTGCGGGGGCCGCCGCCCCCCGCAATGGTACTTCTAAGGCGGCCGCCAGAGCCCAGCGCCGCAGCCCGAGCCAGCACCCAAGCTCGAGGCCGCTTCTGGGCCTCCGCCGCGTAGAGGAGGTTCCGGAGTCGCCGCCGAGGGACGGCACGGCTCCCGCCGCGCGTTGCGCAGCCTCAAGGGTCGGCCGTGGCGGCCCAAACGCCAATCAAGAGTGACGAGCAGGCGGTCCCTCCGCAGCTGCGTATCGAGAGCGAACAGCACGTGTCATGGCGGGCATTCCCTGCTTACGGAGAGGGGAACCCGCGTCGAGCGAAAAAAGGAATCGACCCGTGAAAAGACCCTGAAACTTGCGATTCTGGGCGAGCGATCCAGACCATTTGGCCGGTTGATATTTAGCCTGTTGCAGTGGGCTTAGGCATCGGTCGATGCTTTCCATGCCGCTTGCAGATGAATGGGCGCGCGTAGTCGGCGCCATTCGGTTGTCTTGCCACATTCTCAAAATCAACAGCATTGCTGTTTAGGGTCTCCATGCCAGCGCGCGCATCCTTCCAATTTCCGCGCCCGCGGAGCTGCCGGGGCGATCGCCAGGAGAAGCGCCACCGAAAAGGCTCAGGTGAAGTTGCCGCGGCGGGCCGTCGGGGGTCGCTCCGCATTGATTTTTCACAGTGGAGCGTCTTTCCGTGCCACCAGTTGTTTTCTTCTTTGTCCGCATTCGTGCGGGTTGTTGTGCCACCTTTCACTCGGACTTTACTCGAACAGCTAATGCTGTAATGGCTTCCATTCCCTTGAGAAGAAAAGCGATGTTAGTATTCTGGCACACGCCACATTGAGAACCGAACATCATGAAGTTGGAGCATCGTTCTTCCATACGTGTGTGGCGCTACGATTACGAAGGCCGATTCGCCTTAACTGGCCACGCAATCCTGTGAGGAGGTCGCGCGGTTGCGGCAAGCGCCGATGCAGCGTTGCGCTGGCGTGCTGTGCGCCGCACATGTTTGCTTGTATTGTTGTTGTTTCTGTGTTATTGTTGTTGGATTTTTCATTGGTGATAGGGCGTGCAGGGAGTGAGGCAGTGACTCTTGCGCCCTCCCAGCCAGGCCGCACTGGAGGCCAGTGAGGGCGGCGTTGTCGAGGACAGTGGCACTCCGAGGCAGAATGACAGGAGCGGACTCGAAGGAGGACCCTGAGGTGAGGCTGTGGTGTTCCGGCAGGAGGTTGCGGTCCAAGGAAGACTGGCGGCAGTGGCACGTGGAACAAGTGGAAAGACGAGAAGCGTGAGGGAGCAGAGGCAGCCAGGAAGCCGCAGGAGGCGCATCCCTGCCGGGAGGAGCGTCGCGCTTTGCGTGCGGAGCAGCTGGCAGAGCGCGAGGAGGAGCCTGCGCGCGAGGCCGCGCAGGAGGGGCGCCGCTTCGTCGAGGCGGTGGCCGAGGCAGCGGCCGCGGGCCGCAAGGCCCCCCCTCCCCGCAGGCGCACGTCGAGGCCGCAGTGGCGGCCGTGGGCGCGCGGCCGGGCCAGGGCCCGCATGGGCCGCGGTGAATGCCAGCGGCGCCGCCGCCGCCAGCGCAACAGGCAGCTGCAATTCGCTGAGGCTCGCCCGCCTCGGTCGATGCGCGGGCGCTCTAGGGAGGGGGGGCCTGCAGGCTCGGGGGGGGGGCCTGCAGGCCCTGCCGCAGTTCAGGCTAAGGGGGGGGGCTGCAGGCTCGGGGGGGGGCCTGCGCTGAGGCCCTGCCGCAGTTCAGGCTAAGGGGGGGGCCTGCAGGCTCGGCCGCAGTTCGGGCCCAGGTGTGCGCCGCAGTGGCGGCGCACCAGGGCAGGGCGAGAAGGCTGTCCAACTGTCTACGTGTCGATGTCCAAGTGGACACACGTGGATGTCCAAGTGCACGCATGTGGAGACCTGCAGCGGCAACGCACGCGAAATAATGCCAACACTTCTCAACCGCGTTGCAGGGATACCTACAATGAATCTTCAGCTGCAGAGTGGATTGTGTCGATTCTAGCCCGGCCAATTCAGCTTCCCTTGACCAAGGCCATCCAATTTTCGGGCTCATACATTTTCCTCGTTCAATTCCATACCGGAATATTGTTACAACTCCCCACCCGCGTAGCAAGGTTATTTACTATGGAGCTTCCCCTATATAGCGGATCGTGCCTGCTCCAGCCAAGCCACAGTCAGTTCCCCCGACCAAACTCAGTCCCAATGCCGCTCTCTTTTCCCAGAATCGTAGTTCCCCTTCTGATCCAGTAAGATTATCAAAGTTGACGCGGCAGAAAATAGCGGCGCTAACTTGTACTCCGTCTGCTCGGCGGACCACCCGCTTTCCCTTACGTGGTGGAACCAAATCCTCAGCAGTTCTGCGAACATCTACTGTTTGGTGTGCTTCCGTTCGCGTGCCCATCACCAACATAACGCTACCCTGAAACGGTTTCGCGGTCAAGCCGCGGACCCGAAGGACCATTCCGTCAGGAGAGAAATATATTTGACAATGGCCCCATGGACGTGGGTGCTATCTTGAAGCCGCCCAGGAAGAGCGGGCGCCGCAACATGGACCACAGCTTCCACCCCGACAAGAGCGTCCATTGTATCTTGCTGGAGAGGATCACCCACGTGGGCAGCGAAACCTCGGCGATGGTGGTCAACGGGCCTGATGGCCGCAGAGGCGGCCTCCTCAAGTGTTCGTTGTGTCCCCGCAGTCATGGCTACGGCAACCAACGCAGGTACGCCGCCGTGGCGACACATTGGGCCAGAAGCTCACGAACTTCGACCTCGTGGTCCTCCGCGAGCACCAGGCGGCCGTCCACTTACATCCCGATTGGAGCACACCGTGGCTCAACATGTACGACACGGAGCCGCATGACCGCCCCACGCGCGCACCCGGCCTGGGCTATGGCGAGAGCTCGGGACCAGGCGCGCTCAAGTACCAAACGGAGAACGGGGTCGCACAGCCGGGGCATTTCGACGCGCAGGAAGGGGCGGGGTTGGTCCCAGGAAATTTTGGGGCACCATCAGATGCAAGCGCAGGCCGTAGTGGCGGGCCATGTCTTTCGGAATCGCAGCTTAGCTTTGGCACGGGCGGCGTACCCGCGCGTCTCAGTGACCTGCGCGCCGCCGCCGCTGCGAGACCGAAGCGCTGCGACAAGAAAGCATCCACGCTACCACCCTGGTCGCCATCAGAACGAAGTGGTCGACGACGATGGTGATGATAGTGATAACGACGATGCTTATGAATATGGTGATTCTGCTATGATGGTTGTGGGTTTGCTGGTGATGATGGTTGTTATGCTGGTGAGCTTGATGGTGGTAGTGGTACTGGTGATGATGGAGGCGGTGCTTATGAATGTGTTGATGATGATGTTGGTCCATGGTTGTGATTGCGATAATTTTGATGTTGGCGTTCGCGGTGTCGTTGGCTACGGCGGACGGCGATGGCCCGATGGTGATGGCGATGGCGATAGTATTGGTGATGATGATGACGGCCCAACCGCGCTGGGAGGAGAAACTCCGAACGGAACTCGCACATTGCTGGTTTTAGAGCCGCGTCCAGTCATGGCGGCGAGGGGCCCCTCGCAAGATCCACTGACAGTCTCGGATATCTGTCGCTCCCTGGGTCAAAACAGGAAAAGGGCGCCGGGTTCGTTCGTTCAGCAATTTGTTGCTGCGTTCCCCCGCCACCCTCTTTCCTTCCCGCTTCTCAGCCGCGCGTGCGGCTTTAGCAGCGGGCCGCAGCTCAGGTGGCGGGCCGCGCGGCCCTGTAGCCACACCGCAGCTGAAGCAAGTGGGCCCCTGCGCCGGCGCGCCCCCCGCCACCGAGCTAACGGCTGCAGTGGCGGCCGCCGGAGTGGGCGAGGGCACGCTTGCGTCAGGGAAGTGGGCACGGGGTAACAGCACACGGGGTGGCAGGCAACGGCCGGTTGCGCGCACTTTGCTGCAGTGCAGTTTTGTTCGGCTTTCGCGCTCAACGCAGCACCTGCCACACGTCGTCAGCATCGGACATTCTTGGCTACTGCGCTGCAGCGCTTTGTTTGGGGCCCTCTGTTGCCCTGTCCGTGTGGCTTGTCCGCGGTTCTTCTGCAATTAGCTGCAGAATAAATGCAGTGCGCTTCCTTGTTGCGCAACAACTGCCGCGCAGTTGTTTGTTCCGGCCGTTGCAATCTCTCCGTCTGGATCTCATGGTGGGCCTGTCACCCCGTTGGGCGTTACCCGATCCAGTCTTCCTTGATTGCGCTTGTGTTTAGGGTTCGACGGCGGTTTGGGGCGCGTCGGAAGCGCGCCCTCGGGCGGACTCGAGAGCGTTGAACCGTGGCCACGAGAGCCCATGAGGGCCGAGAAGCGCCCAACATTATCGAAGGCCTTCTCACCTTTTCTTCCTCCTTTGTTCCTGGAGGCCTATGGAAGTCCCTGGAGGCCCCCTGATGCCCAGACATGCCACACAAAGCGTCCGAAAGCTCGATCGTTGATCCCCTTTCATCCTTCTCCTCTCCTTGCTCCGTTCTCCATCCCTCCCTCCTTGTTTGTCCGGCGGGCCCTTGGCGTCCCCGGCCCCCGCGCGAAGGACGAAGAAGGAGCGGGTGAACATGGCGAAGAGGGAGGCCGAAACCGCGCGCTTCGAGCTGCGCCTCGGCATCGCGTCCATGATCGACAAGGACTTCGGGCGGCCAGTTGGCTCGCAAGTCGACGGCGGCGGCGGCGGTGGCGGCGGCGGCGGCGGCGACGCACCGCGTTGACCCTCCGAAGCTGCGGCCGTAATTCTGCGGCGCCGTGCTTAGTCTCGCGGCGCGGATGCTCGGGTCGCCAATGCTGGCCCAGGGAGAGCAAGACTCACCATGTCGCTGTCCCGAGGTTGCCAGCGGTGGCAGACTCGGTGTGGGGATGCTCTGCCAAGAGAAGAATAAGCGCACGTCTCTCCTCCCTCCTCCGCCGTCCTCATCCGTCCACCAAACCCTGCCCGTCAGCCTCCCGCCTGCTCTCCCTTTCTGACTCGCTTCGTCGCACCTTCTCTTCTCCACATCCTCCCTATCTTTTCGGCTTCCTCCTCCTCCTTTCTCCCTCCTTCCTCTCGTTGTCCAGCGAAGGCGTGTGTAACTGCATCCTGGGCAGTGAAGCCGCCAGATTGCCGGCAGTTCATTGGGGAAGGCATGTTTTCGACAATTGGGAGCCCTTCAGGTAGACAGTTTTGATCTCCGATCACGTCTTCTGCCGGGTTGCTCCCTCCCTCCCCCCTTTTGCCCTCGCCCCCCTCGTCTGGTGGGGCTTTGTCTCCTGTTGCTACTGCCTCGGCACCACTACCGGCGCTAGCCCGCACCGCTGTACCAACGCCGCTTCGGCACCACTGACTTGTTTCCATTATAGTTCGTGGTTTAGTATTGATTGGATTATTGACGCGGCCGGCCGAAATTCGGAGCTATAGCATCACGTTCGCCTTTAGCGACCATGCCTGTCTACCATTCCTGTACAGCGAATTTGACGTTGATGCCGACGCCGTGTGCAACACTGTTCTGGATGTGGTCGCTGACGGCATCGCGCCAGACCGCATGGGTCTTCATGTTTCGCAGAATTGGGAACCCTTTCTTGTCTGAGGCGCCTACCTTGATGTGAATCGGTGCAGACACCATGCCACTGCGAGTCGGCCGCTGCTCAGCTGAGCCGCTTTGCCCACTGTCGCCCGGACAGCTGTCTGCTCCGCGGGAGGCCAATCTACGATCGACGACACATGGTATGCTAGGCCGCGTGGCTCGTTATACGGCGCGCGCAATTATAGGTTGCCAACCCCGCGAACGCATTCGCATGACTTTTTATCGCAATGGCTATTACAGGCACTCGCTCAGCGGGTTACTTCTTTTGGATTGTACATTATGCACATCATTCACTTTCTATACCTCCCTCCTTCCTCCTCTGTAGATGCAAAGATTATCTCGGTCATTTCAGGCATAACACGGCTTTTTGTGTGACCGCTTGACATGTTCACCACCTCCAAGTGGTATTTCGTGACATGAGCATCTTGCCGTTGCAGAGTTTTCGCGAAGCGCAGACGTAATAACTGAGCTGTTGCCCCGGAAAAGAAATAAATTCTCGGACTGGCGCAAGCGGTAACAGAACAGGAGTTTGGATGTCAAGTAACGCTCCAGGCATACATCTCTTCGTCTGGTGTACATGGACCAGAGAGTATATCAACCTTGCCCGGCTTTGATGGGTTTGATGAGGAACATGAAGGCTATCAACAAAACGGCCCAGAGTCGACCGACCTAGGCCTTTTCTCGGCGCTAAAGGGGGCTCCTGTTCGGTCGTTTCCCCCCAGACTTCTGGCGCAGTGATGCTTTCAACATGTGACCCTAGAAATTCCGACCCTATCCCAGGGAACAGTTGTTTGGGCCCAGAGACGGCCCTGGGATGCCGAAGTCCAGTACGAATGTCAGTGTTGAGAATTCACGAGGATGGAAGTTTCCAAACTTGTGCTCGAAACGATTCCCCAGACCCCTCCCGGGGTGCATCCTGGCAAGTTGTTGGATCTGCGTCCAGCCGTGGACACGAGAGCTCCCCCCAGGAGGCCAGAGGAGGAAGAGGAGAGTAGGAGGATGACGACGACGAGAGCAGCGACGGCGACAACGACGACGATGACGACGACGACCTCGGTCTCCTCTGGAGTTCCTTGCCTCGTCCCTGGGACAGTTTTTTCGTCTTGGACTGTTTTTCAACAGTCCCAGGGCCCTGAAGCAGCTTTCGAGCGCCGACAATGGTGGAAAACCTTTGGTGCGTGTCTTTCTAGTCGCCAAGAAGGGCCTGGGCAACATCCGTTCAACAAGGGCCTTGGGAGCCCGAAAAAGGGCCAGTCCGACGACCCACCACAGCGCTTTTATTCGGTCCTCCTCCCTCAAGCTCATTCGCTCAAAATTGGTCCACAGATCCCTCCCCTGATCCGCCCTGGCAGTTTTTTCGATCAGCGTCCAGCCGTGGCGACTCACATCTCCAGAAACGCACAGAAATTCCCGAAGAGCGACGACGACCTTGTCGTCTTCGATCCTCGATCCTCCTCATCGTGCCGTTTACTAGCAGGATCGCCGCTATTTTTTGCTTCGAGGCAGTTGATCTGCTCATTCTGCTATTGGAGCTCTTGCTCAGCATAGCCCATGCCCAGGGCAAGGCCCGATCGGTCATGGTGCTCGTGGTGATTCGAGCCGAGTCGAGCCCTCCGCCTCCTCCCCGACCCTCGACTGCCCGCCCGCCGCCGGTTTGCGAGGACCTCGGCAACGCCGAGACCATCAACAGACTGAAGGAGCAGCGCGCATGGGCTGGGCGCTGGTCTCCTCGCGGCAATCTGGGCCGCCCAGATGGGCCGCCGCCGACGACGACGGCCACGACGGCCACGACGGCCACGACGGCCACGACGGCCACGACGATCACAAGCACGATGACCGTCACGGCGATCGCGACGACCACGACGGCCACGACTACGGCGATCGCGACCACGACCACGGCGACCGCGACTCTCACCACGTCTGGAAGCCGCCCGAACGGATCCAGATTGGATGGGGCCGGGGGATCCGGCCGCATTGCCGATGCATCGGCGAGGCGGCACGATTTGGAGCCAGATGTTCTCCATCCCGATGTGCCGATTCGGCTCGGCGCGATGCGCCGTCGTGGACACGGCTGGATCAGACTCCAAATGTTGAGCGCTCCCGGGCAGGCCCGGTTGGGGGCCCCCACAGACCGCACCAGGGGGGAGGTCATCCCACCACCCTTGTTTCCTATGCGGCGCCTCCCGCTTTGTGAGGAAGGCCTTCTGGTCACTTGTAGCCCCAGGACCTGGACGGTGTCCGAAGTTTTGCTTTTTCTCCTCCTTCTTCGTCCTTCTTCCACATCCTCCCCCTGATTATCCACTTCCATCTCCCCCCTCATCCTGCATCTCTCTTCCTCTTCCTCTTCCTGGCCCATCCCGCTTGCTCTCCCTCCTTCTCCTGGTTCCTCCTCATCCCCACTCCTCTCTCCTTTTGGCTCTTCCCTGCTCTTCCATTGTTTTCCGCCATCTCCTGAGTCCTCCTCCTCCTCCTGTCTTGTCTTCTTCCCCCTTACTCGTCTTCCTCGTCTCGGGAAAACCACCGACGTCTCTGCTGGTCGGCTCCCGATCAGCCCCGCCTCCCAGCAACCCCAAGTCTGCGCCCCCGCTTCCTCCCTTGGAGCCAGTCCACCGCCGCCGCCAGCCAGCGTGCCCGCGCCGCCTGTTGTCTTGGCCTCCTCGATCCCTCGACCGCCGCCGTCAGCTGCTGTCTCCTCAGCCTGCCTGGCGCCCCGAACAGGAGCAGCTCGAGGTGTCCCAGAGGGAGGTGCAGGAGGTGCGGTGGGCGAACAAGGTCCAGAGGGCGCCAGCCGTGCATCTGCGCAGCGACCCTCCCTGGGCACACCTTGTGCCCAGGATCGGCTCACACTCTGGTTTCTGTCGGATTGAATCTTCAAGTCCAGCGCTGCCCCGCAATGTCGACCTCGGGGACCAGTTTTCGAGAAATTCGGTTCCTTGTGAAGCGAGTGACGGCACGATGCTCTCCGATGCGCGCAGTGGCGACCCAACGTCCAAAAACCAGATCGTGGAGGGGAGAGCGAAGACCAGCGGTGCAGACTGCGAAACGGAGCAGGCGGCCCCACCAGCAGGCCAAGCCGAACGGGCGCGAGCACAAACGATTCACACAGGGCACAACACAGAACACAGAACACACAGCACACAGCACACAGCACACAATACACAACACACACAACACGCACACATACACACAACACACACAACACACACACACACACACGCGCACACACGCACACACAACACACACCACACACCACACACCACACACCACACAACACACAACACACATACAACTTACACACAACTTGCACACGCGCCGATCCTGGGCCGAGGGCTGGCGTGAGAAGGATCTGTGCGCGCAGGCGTACGGGTTGGCACCCTCCCAAAAGGTCCTCATCGACGAGTCCGAGCTCACGGCCACTGCGATAGAGAGGGACCCATGGGGGGGCGGCGGGTCGGACGAAGGAGGAGGCCGGGAAAGGAACGGGCACGAACTCTGCAGCATGCCGCTGGTTTCGGCTCCACAGCTGGGCGCTTTCCTGGGTGCACGGGCGCCTGCGGCGCCAGGGTGCGCCGGGTACACCAGCCATGGGGGCCGATTCGCTAATCCCCCCTCTGCCGTCCCCCCTTCTCGTCCGCCGCCGGCTCCCGAAGGAGCCGTGGATGGGGCCCTGGCCCCGCCGCCGACCTCCCGAGAAGGCGCTCCCGTGCCCGCGCGCACGGGGAACGGTATCGGCGCTTGTCCCGTCCTTCCCCCTTCTCGTCCGGCCCCGAGGGGCCTGCGGGCGCGGCGCGGCGGCCGCCGGGCGCGGATGGACGCGGCACTGCTGCGGGACGGCTTGCGCGAGTGCGGGCGCAGAGCCGCTGTTGGCAGTCCGAAGGCGCGGACTGCGCCAGCGCGGTTCGCGCGCACGAGGGCGCGCGCGCACGATCTCGTGGACGCCGCACGGGGTCGGCCTCCTGCGCGCGTGTGCGTGTGCGTGCCCCTGCCTGCGTGCGTTCTCGGGGGCGTCTGGGCGCTCTTGTCTGGGCTGTGGTTCCCTTCCGCCTCCAGAACGCCAAGGGGCTGGGCCCTTCTCCCTTCCTCCTTCTTCCCCCCATCCTCCCTCCGCCCTTCTCTCCTCGTTGGTACTCCTCCCTGCCTCCTTCCCCGCTTTGTCCCCCTCGCCCCCCATCCCTCCTGTCTGGCCCGAGGCACCAGACCCCAAACGGAGAGACGCGATGCCAAGAACCGTTCCCCCCCCAGCCTCCCTCCCGCTTCCCTGCATCCTTCCTCCGTCCTCTCTCCCTCTCCTCCTCCACGTGGCCAAGACTGGGCGCAGCTCGGAGAATTGGCCAAGATGAACTTTGGGAGGGGGGCCTGCAGGTCAATAGCGAGCGCTGCAATACATGGTGCTTTCGCGAGCGGAAGAGCTCCAGGTCACAGAAAGCAGGCCACGGATCTCAATCTCAGTATGCGCGGCGTGTTGGGCATCGTGCTGAGCGCAGACTAAACTAGATCCCCCTCCTGGTTTCCCCGGCGACGACGGCGGCGGCGGTAACGACAAACCCTCCCTCCGCTTGGAGGAGCGGTCAGTGACCCCAGAACTCGTCAACTGCGCCAAAATCGACCTGGGAGGGCTCGATGTATACTGCCCGTCGTTTGGCCAGCCAGAGAGCCAAGGCGTTAAGGGAAGACGTGCAGTGTTTAACCGCTCCAGCATCCCCCAGACTGGGAAGCTGGGGCGTCCATGTACCGAGCCCTCCATGGCCGACCACACGACCTGGTGTATGCTTTGAGCCCCTCCCATCGATCCTCGACCCCTCCCTCCTCGGTCCTCGATCCTCAAGAGCAGCGCGATCGACGCCTTCTGAGGCTACGGCCTCGCGGCGCAGGCCGCTGGTCGGCTCGCCCCCTCTCCTATACGGTGGCCGGGGACGTCTCCGCGCATCCGTCCGTCCGGTCTCGACACTCTCGACGCACCCCGCCGTCTGGAGGAGCGGCAGACCTGGGCGGAGGCCTCCGCCCTGCAGTCTTCGGCGACGGCGTCCTCGTCGCGCTTCGGTGCACTGGCGCAGTCCTCGCTGGCGCAGTCCTCGCTGGGACAGTCGTCGTGCGCACAGCGGGCCCCGTCGTCGCCGTCGCCGCCTCCTCCGCCACCGCCACCCCGCCGCCGCCGTCGCCGTCGCCGCCGCCGCCGCCGTCGCTGTCAGCCTCGTCCTCGTTCTCGTCCTCGTCCTCATCCTCATCCTCGCCGCCGTGCCGCCGCCGCCGCCGCCGCCGTCGTCGTCGTCGTCGTCGTCGTCGTCGTCGTCGTCGTCGTCGTCGTCGTCGTCGTCGTCGTCGTCGTCGTCGTCGTCGTCGTCGTCATCGCCGTCATTGTCCTCGTCGTCGTCGTGATCGTCGTCATCGTCGTCGTCGTCGGTTCGTCGTCGTCGTCGTCGTCCTCTTCGTCGTCGTCGTCCCTGTCGACGTCGTCGACGTCGTCGACGTCGTCGTTGTCGTCGCCGTCGTCTTCAACGTTGTCGTCGTCGTTATGGTCGCCATCGTCGTCGTCATCGTCGTCGTCATCGTCGTCGTCGTTATCGCCGTCGTCGTCCTCGTCGTCTTCGTCGTGTTCGTCGTCGTCGTCTCCGTCGTCGTCGTCTTTGTCGTCGTGGTCCTCGTCGTCGTCTTTGTCGTCGTCGTCTTCAACGTCGTCGTCGTCGTCGTTGCCATCATCGTCTTCGTCGTCGTTGTCGTCGTTGTCATCGTCGTCGTCGTCGTCAAAGCCGTCGTCGTTTTCGTAATCACCGTCGTCGATTTCGTCGTCATCGTCGTCGCCTTCATCGTCGTCTTTGTCGTAGTCGTCTTCGTCGTCCTTGTCGGCTTCCCTTTCGTCGTCGGCGTCGTCGTCGTCGCCGCCGTTGTCATCATCGTCCTCGTCCTCGCCGTCGTCGCCGTCATCGTTGTCGTTGTCGTCATTCACGTCATCGTCGCCGTTTTCGTCGTCGTCGTCGTCGACGTCGCCCTCGTCGTCGTCGTCGTCGTCGTTATTGTCGTGGTTGTCGTCTCCAATGGCGTCGTTGTCTTCGTCGTTTTGGCCGTAATTGTCGTCGTCGTCATTGTCGTCGCTTAAGTCGTCGTCATTGTCCTCGTCGTCGACGTCGTCGTCGTCTTTGTCGTCGTCTCCGTCGTCTTCAACGTCGTCGTCTTCGTCGTCGTCTTCATTGTCGTCGTCGACGCCGTCATTGTCGTCGTCGCTGTCATCGTCGTCGTTGTCAAAGCCGTCGTCATCTTCGTTGTCTTCGTCCTCGTCGGCTTCTTCCCTTCGTCGTCTTCAACGTTGTCGTCGTTTTCGTCTTTGCCGCCGCCTTCAACGTCATCGTCATCGTCGTCGTAGTCGTCGTTGTCACCGTCGTCGTTGCACCGTCGTCGTCGTCAGAGCCGTGGTCGTTTTCGTCGTCTGCGTTGTCGTCGTCTTCCTCTCTTCGTCGTCTTCATCGCCGTCGTCGTCTTCGTTTTTGCCGCCGCCTGCAACGTCGTCGCCATCGTCGTCGTAGTCATCGTTGTCGTCGTCGTCTTCGTCATCGCCGTCACCGCCATCGTCGTCGTCGTCGTCGTCGTCCTCGTCGTCGTCGTTGTCGTTGTTGTCTTCAGCGTCGCCGTCGTCGTCTTCAACTTCATCGTCGTCGTTGGCATCGCCGTCGTTTCCGTCGTCGTCGTCATCTCCATCGTCGTCATCGTCGTCCTCATCGTCGTCGTATTCGTCGACTTCGTGATCCTCGTCCTCGTCGTCGTCGTAGTCGTCTGATTCTTCAACATCGTCATCGTCGCTTTCGCTGTAGCCGTCGTCGTTGTCATCGTCGTCGTCGTCTTCATCGTCGTGGTCCTCGTCGTCGTCGTCGTCCTCGTCGACGTCGTCCTCGTCCTCGTCGTCGTTGTCATTGTCTGTGTCTTCACCGTCGTCGTCGTCTTCGCTTTCGCTGTCGCCGTCGTCGTTGTCATCGTCGTCGCCGTCGTCGTCGCCGTCGTCTTCAACATCGTCGTCGTCGTCTTCGTCGTCGTCGTTGTCGACGCCGTCATTGTCGTCGTCGTCGTCGTTATTGTCGTCGTCTTCAACGACGTCATCGTCGTCGTCTTCAACGTCGTCGTCGTCGTCGTCTTCGTCTTCGTCGTCGTCGTTGTCGCCGTCGTAGGTGTCATCGTCGCCGTCGTCGTCGCCGTCGTCATCGCCGTCGTCGTCGTCGTCGTCGTCGTCGTTGTTGTTGAACATTATTTATTCTAAAGAATAATTATTGTTGGGACCCCTGGTGCGCGCCCCCCTCGCCGCGCCTAGGCCGCAGCCACATTTTCATCATTTTCGTGAGGAAGTCTCAGGCAAAACGTGGGTGTCCGGATCCGGTTGTTTTGTTGACGCCCGCTTTCCCTTGCAAAAAACACTATAAAATGAAATTTCTTGTTCTAACATAACCAAACTTCAAGAATCCTTTGAAAAAATGACACGAAGTGCACACTCGCGCGCGCAAGATGAAATCCTTCCAAAACCTTAGTTTTCGTAGCGATTTTAACATAAAAACATGAAAAACCCAATGGTTTTTCAAAAAAAAAGTTTCAAAAATTCATCTTGCGCGCTCTTGCGGATTTCTGAGGAAACCCAATATTTTTTCAACATTTCTGTCAAACGGGCTCTTGCGAGCAACTTTTTCACGTGCTTCGAACTTCTGCAACAACGGTTGCGCGCATGCCAGGGCCATCATCCCTGTCAAATAATACCATATTGGACACATTCGTTTTTTCTTCGCGCGCGCACGCCGTCGTCGTCGGCCGCGGGGCCCTGAATAGTAGCCACGGTCGTCCGCATGCCACGAAGTGAAGTGTCCGAACGTCATAGGGCGGGAAGCTGGGTGTGGGTGGTGGCGAAGAGTCGTTTGGAAATTTGGTAGAGCTTGAACCGGCCCCCCCACAAAGTGGGGGTATTGCCCGCCTCCTATGAAAACCCTGGCACTGGTGAGAACGGAGTGTCCCCAGTCTTAAATGATTGTTGTTGTTGTTGTTGTTGTTGTTGTTGTTGTTGTCATCGTCGTCGTTGTCGTTGTCGTCGTCGTCTTCAGCGTCGTCATCGTCGTTGTAGTTGCCGTCGCTGTGCGAATGTCAATGTTAATGTTGACAGCGCCGCTGCCACTGACCCCCCCTCAAGCCTTTTTCTGCCCGGCTAAGGATGCCGGTCGACCCGTCCTCAGTCGCCTGCCTCTCCTCAATCGGCTCCTTCTGCCTGCTGGCGCGATTGACGCCGCCGCCCGCGCCCTTCTGCGGGTGCCAGTGCGATTGCGGGGCTCCTGGCTGGCCCACTTCCGTGCTGTTCGCCGTCGCGCTGGGCCACCTCGCCACAGGGTTCCTCGTGGCACGCTGGTGGAGGGCGCCGTCGACAGGTGTCCCGCAGGTGCAGGTGGTGCAGGCTCAGCCGAAGTGCCTCACTCTGCCAGCAGGTGCTCGTAGGCGTCTCGAGGGAGGTGAGTGATGGCCCGCAGGCTCCTGGAGAGCGGGCGCCGTTTGTGTGCGCTGTTCGACCGCGATGCAGGGGTCCGGCATGAGAGATTGGTTTTGCTGCCGACCACGGGTGGGCATGTCATCGCCACTCCAGACGGAGACACCTACGATGAGCTCCTCAGCGACTACGTTGACATGCTCGAGAGCGGCGCCTCGGGCGGGGTGCCGAACCGCCTCTCTGGCAACAAGGCGCTGCGCTATGCCTTCCGCAAGGGCGACATCGCGTGCGACAGCGCGTTCCGCCGGCGGGCCGAGCCGCAGCTGGCGGCCCTGGTCGGCGAGCTGCCTGCTGCAGCTGACGCCAGGGCGAGCGCCCCGCCCCCGCTCCCGCCGGCCGAGAGGCCCGCTGCCGGCGCCGTGCTTGCGGGGCGGGAGCTCGACGACGACTCCGCCTTTACGCTGGAGGTGCTGTTGGGCAGTGCCTGGTGGTGGGCTCGCGCTGGTTCGCAGCGGAGACGGAGGGCAGCTTCCGCCGCGGGAAGTCCGTCGCGGCTGGCGCCTCGGACGTGGGGTTCGGGAGCTCAGGGCAGGCGCTGCTGCAGCGCAGCGGCGTCTGGCTGCGCCTCTGCCGTGATCCACCGACGCCGCCCCTGCGTGATGCTGCTCCCGCCGCCGAGGGCGACGTCGGCACCCTGGCTGCGGCCCACAGTCGGGTCGGGCGAAAGGGGGGATTGGGAAAGGGGGGGTTACGAAATTTGCTGCATGCAGCTGGTTTCGGCCTCACCGAGGGGCCAATTCCTCGATACATGGCCGCTCCCGGCGCTGGGAGGCGCCGGGAAAATCAGCTACGTGAGCTGATTCTCAAACCCCCCCTTTGCTATCCCCCCCTTTCGCCCGACCCGACACAGTCCTCGTGGCGGTCGCACTCGGAGCTTTGAGTCCGCTCGGAGCCTGCTGCGCGAGGAGCCGCTGGATGCCGCCTGGCCCATGGAGGGGCCGTGAGCCGTGCACTGGCTGGTGGTGGCGTTCGCCGGCAGCGGGATG